CAACCCCAAACCCTGCAGGAACCCTCCAACCCCAAACCCTCCAACCCCAAACCCTACAACCCCAACCCCTACAACCCCAAACCCTGCAACCCCAAACCCTACAAACCCAAACCCTCCAACCCCAAACCCTACAACCCCAAACCCTACAACCCCAAACCCTACAAACACAAACTCTACAACCCCAAACCCTACAGAAACAAACCCTCCAACCCCAAACCCTACAGGAACCCTCCAACTCCAAACCCTCCAGCCCCAAACCCTCCAACCCCAAACCCTCCAACCCCAAACCCTACAGAAACCCTCCAACTCCAAGCCCTACAGAAACCCTCCAGCCCCAAACCCTCCAGCCCCAAACCCTACAGGAACCCTCCAAACCCCAACCCCCTCCCTGACCCCGCTGTGTCCCCGCAGTCCCGCACGCCCGCCCTGGTGTTCGAGCACGTCAACAACACCGACTTCAAGGTGAGCCCCCGGCACCTTTTGGGGTCTGTAGGGTCCCCTCTGAGCCCCGGGACCCTTTGGGGTCTGTAGGGTCCCCCCTGAGCCCCCGGCACCCTTTGGGGTCTGTAGGGTCAGTGCCAGCCCCCCCTCTGATCCCCTGGGACCCTTTGGGGTCTGTAGGGTCAGTGCCACCCCCCCTTTGAGCCCCAGGACCCTTTGGGGTCTGTAGGGTCAGTGCCAGCCCCCCTTCTGAGCCCCAGGACCCTTTGGGGTCTGTAGGGTCAGTGCCAGCCCCCCCTCTGATCCCCGGCACCCTTTGGGGTCTGTAGGGTCAGTGCCAGCCCCCCTCTGCTCCAGAACCCTTTGGGGTCTGTAGGGTCAGTGCCAGCCCCCCCTCTGATCCCCAGGACCCTTTGGGGTCTGTAGGGTCAGTGCCAGCCCCCCTCTGATCCCGGGACCCTTTGGGGTCTGTAGGGTCAGTGCCAGCCCCCCCTCTGAGCCCCCGGCACCCTTTGGGGTCTGTAGGGTCAGTGCCAGCCCCCCCTCTGAGCCCCCGGCACCCTTTGGGGTCTGTAGGGTCAGTGCCAGCCCCCCCTCTGGTCCCCGGGACCCTTTGGGGTCTGTAGGGTCAGTGCCAGCCCCCCCTCTGCCCCTGGGACCCTTTGGGGTCTGTAGGGTCAGTGCCAGCCCCCCTCTGATCCCCGGGACCCTTTGGGGTCTGTAGGGTCAGTGCCAGCCCCCCCTCTGCCCCAGGACCCTTTGGGGTCTGTAGGGTCAGTGCCAGCCCCCCCTCTGATCCCAGGACCCTTTGGGGTCTGTAGGGTCAGTGCCAGCCCCCCCTCTGATCCCAGGACCCTTTGGGGTCTGTAGGGTCAGTGCCAGCCCCCC